CACGGTGAGCCATGGGGAGCAGATGGTTTCCATGAGGATGCAGCACAGTTACACAGAGCTCCAGCACGTCCAGGACCTGGCCAGGAGGGGAGGGAACAGACTCTGGAGTGCTGCAGTGCCAGGCATTCAGGTGGATCCCAGCATCCCACCGGGAAGCTGGGAGGGTTTGAATAGCAAAGGGTGTGGTTTTACTGCAGCAGGAACTGGGACAAGTGAACAGTGCTCAGAGCACAGGCCTGTTTGGAAAGGCACAAGTACTGCAGTGATGTGCTGGGTACAGAGCTGGGCTGGGAGCAGGGCAGGATTCCTGGCCTGAACTGCACATTCAGATCCCGCAGGGGCAGCAGGATCACCTGGCAGAGCTGGGGCCTCTGGGCTGAGAATCTGGGTTACGCCTCACTGCTGCATTCTCTGTCTCGCTTTGCACTTTAAAAGGAGGCCACCTTCAAAGGATTTTCATAATTACAAAAAAAAGCCAGGCTTTTAGCCCTGCTTATCATCACCCCAGCAACTTCAGAGACATTCATCAGCCTGTGCACTGCAGCCTGAGGAAGGGGGATGGGAGGCCAGATGGGAGAAAGATGCTTCTGCTTCTTCCACCAAAGGCTGAGGCACAAGACTTTAACTGTCACGAGCGACAAGGGAAGGCGCCCAACACAAAGCCCCCCTCAAGATTCTGTTCGGTTTGGCTGCCATTCCTAACCCAAACCGCTCCCAGGAAAACCGTCTCCCCTTTTCTTGCCAGGCTTGGAGGATCTGTCCTGCTCGAGCATATGGCAGCACGAACCTGGGGATGGCAGGGAGCCCAACGTGCACGGTGCACACGCTGACGAGCTCCCAGCCCCTCCGTGGGCACCATCTGTCCCCTCGGAGCCGCCAGCACCGACCTTGAGCCGCACCCGGAGGCTCCCGTCAGACAGCAGGTGGATGCACCTCTCCATCACATCCCGGGCCAGCTGAGCGTGGATCGGCAGTGCAGCCTCTCCCTCCGTGTCACCGTTGTTGGGCTCTGTCTCAGCAAGCGGGGGAACCTTGTCTGGAAGACAAATCCATTCCTGGAGCTACGAAAATGACTCGGGAGCTCTGGGAGATGGCAATACCTGCCCACAGCCACTCTGAACACTCCTGAGTGAGGCCTTTGGCATTTTTTAGTGTAATTAGACACAGTCAAGCCTATGCTTGAGTTCTGTGAGGTAGTGTCAGGTTCAGATAGGGTGGTGGGACCAGGGAAGGTTCGCTTGCTTTACGGGACAATGCAGTTGGTCTGACATTTGCAGTTTCTTCTCACCATGGACTTATTTTCCATTGATTTTTATTAAAAATGAAAGGCCTGGGTATTTAAAGATGAAGTATTTAAAGGTCAGGATTGCAGCACAGCCCAGTAAAGACTAAAAAGTTCCCTGTATGAATGTCTGCAGTGCCTGCCCAGGCCAAGTGAGAAGGGAGGGGTGGCATCATTAGCCAGGAGAAAATGGCACAGGGGTTCCCAAGGGAACATAAGGAGGAAAATGCAGTAGGATCCTGGAAAGAGGAAACTTCTGGCCCTGAAGCCAAATAACCTGTTACAAGGTAAGGAAAAACAGTGTGCTCGTGTCTTAGAGCTAGAGAAGCCTTGATCTGCAAACGTTTTGCTCCCGTCCTCATAAAGAACAAAGCAAGAACACCCAGCAGCCCCTTGCACGAACCAAGGGCATCTCAAAGTACACCTGAGACTGTCAGCTGGGTCCCAGGTCCCCCATGTGACAAAAGGACACCTTGGAGGTCACGCTCTCTCTGCAGGCTGAACATGCTCCTCTCCAGCCACGCACGGTACTGACCTGCCTCCTCCTCCTCCCCCGCGTCAGGAACGTCACCCTCTGCGATCTGCTTCTGCCTCACGTAGTCAAGGAAGAATCGTTCCATTTCTTGCCTTGTCGTTGTCACCTCGTGCTGCCCCTGAACGGGGCTCAGTCCCTTGCCAGTCTGCCCTTGCTGGTGCTGCTCAGCGCTGCACATTCCAGACCACTGGACTGCAAAAGAGGAACCAACGCGTCACTGAACGGCCACGATCCCCTCCTGCAAGTCAGCAAGGTGCTGTGATTCCCTGAGAGAAGAGCTTGGCTCTCATGGGACAGCACTACAGACCCAGGTGCCTGCTGTCACCTCCCTGCCACCTCCCTGATGGTATGGGAATGTTAAAACCAAAAAGCAATACACTCCATGTACTCCTACAGAGCACTTATGGGGAGCAGTGAATCCTTCCTTTCTCAGCCACAAAAGGCCCACCTTCCTGCAAGGCTGCAGGCCAGACAGAAACCGGAGAGAGGAAGCTACTGGTGATCTTTGCTTGAGCACTGGCCACCAAGCAAAGTGCAGGTGCCATCAAGCTACAGCACCTTGGCTACCCCATGACAAGTGGAAAGGTCCAAGACAAGCACCCTCAGTGACAGCAAGGCTGAGTTACACAAAGTAAACATCATTTTGGTACCTAGAGCTGTCATGACTGAGTGGAGGACCCCGAGGAAGGTGGAAGCCTGGCTGTTGTAAGACTGATCTAGGGCAGACAGGACATCTTGGATAACGTCTTCTACCAGTGGCAGCAGGCTGGCATCTGAGTGCCTCAGCATTGTGTCCAGGACCTGGGAAGCATGTGACTGATGTGCCAGCTGGCGCAAATTCAGGGAAATCCCATTCACCAGATAGTCAGAATTCTCATTAATCAAACACTGCACCGAGTCGTAACTGCAGGCCTCGCATATGTCTGCCAGTGTCCCCAGTGCTGTCTCGCTGATGAGCAGAGTCCTGTCTCCAGCCTTTTCCAGCACAGGGTACAGAGCTGAGAGCAGCAGCAGCCGGAACTCCTTCCCAAGGACGGCAGCGAAGCAGCCAATGCCCTCCAGCTGGATGCAGATCTGCCAGATGTTGCTGTTCATGGAGCGGGTCGTGACCTGGGGCTCCGGGGATGGAAGGAGGACGCTGCTGCACGGACTCCCTAGACGGGCAGCGAGTCCTGAGCGCTGCAGAGCGTGCTCAGGGCTGGCTTCTTCTGCGTCAACGCTGGTGATCAAATACCAGTTCGCCTGGTCGGTGTACTCATCCAGAATGGAAGTTACGGACCCTCTGAGATCATCCACGCTCGGCGGGACTTCCCTCTCCTGCAGGACATCCACTCCCAGCCCGGCAGCTCCCGTGACCAGCTCGTTGAGGACCATGGCTGCCTGCTTTCGGTACAGGCTGGACTCGCTGTACAGCCCCATGAAGTGATCCACCAGCAGGTAGAGGTTCCCGTAGTAGCCAAGAACGCGGCACACCTGCTGAAGGAGCTGGAAAACTCTCTCCTCCGTGAAGAAGCGGAAGTATTTCTTCTGGCACCTGCCCCTCTGCACACCCCGCTGCCAGCAGCCCGGCGGCCCCCAGCGCCGCTCCTCCACGATCTTCACGTCCGTCACGTCCAGCTCCAGGACCTGCACCAGCGCCCGGGACAGGCGCTGCAGGTGGGACGCGGAGTTGAGGACGACGTTGATCTTGGGGCCCAGCAGCTTCAGGTAGCCCAGCAACAAGCTGAGTGTGGAGACCTTGCCCGTGTCATCCTGGGAGTTCATCAGGCGAGGAAGGGCCGTGGCCAGGGAATGGAGGTTCTCGGAGAGGACGTCAGCAAGAGCCCTGCTCTGTGCCACGACCCTCTGCTCTGCGATGCCCCGCAGAACCTCGTTACACCTGCTCTGGACTTCGTTGCTTTCGTCATTAACCAGCCCAACCAAGGCCTTTAAGAGGTGACTGAATGAGTCTACCAGTGACTGACTGCAGTTCCTCAGTAAGTGGTGGACCAGTTCCACCAGCTCCAGTCTCACCTTCCAGTGAGGGTGAACTGAAGAAGATTCAACCACTTTATGCAGGAGGATGGAGAGTTTTTGAGCGGTACTTTTGCTCCACTCAGGTCCTCTATGGACCATTAGCTCTGATATTCTGCTTTGTTCCACTGGCAGCTTCTCCTTACTCTTTGGGACTCTGGCTAGCTGTGCATCGGACATTACTGAGCCAACAATCAGATAGAAGAGTCTGATGGCAGAAACGGTGGTTTTGTGACCTTGTTTGATGTCTCCAGTAATAACCCGAGACAGTGTAATGGAAATCCCAGGCAGAAAAGAAGCAAACAAATCCCCACACTGCTGTGCTTCCTCTTCATCCAGGTGTCGGTGCTCCTGGCAGTCACACTGCAGAACCAGGACCTGTAAGCACTCCAAAGCAGAGATCTTGATTTGCTTTGCTTTCTCTTGCTCCGCAAGGCCCAGAAGCAAAGACACGGCAAATCCCAAGAGCGGTAGGGCGGAAGGTTGGTACAGGGACAAGACAACATCCCCATAAGCCGAGTGCATCAGGGTGTGGAGCGCCTGGATCACGGCCAGCTTCAGCTCCTCGGACAGCGGGGCGGGCTTGCCCGAGCCGGGCGGGGGAGCCAGGCAGGTGCAGAGCTCGGAGAAGAGCTCCTGCAGCAGCTCCCGCTTCCTCACGCACGTCGCCGCCAGCACGGAGGAGATGCACTGCACCAGGCTCTGCACCAGCCGCTCCTGCTTGGGGCCCGGCACCCGCAGCGCGAAGCGCAGCGGGAACAGCACGTACTCCTGCAGCTCCTGCAGGGCCGCGCCGCTCACCGCGGCCAGGTGCGCCTGCAGCCGCCGCACGTTCTCCACCGTCTGCGCCCGCGTCAGCTGCACGCAGGCGGGGCGCAGCGCCCCGAAGGCGGCCTGCGGGGTGTCGAACACGGCCATGCCGGGGGGGGGGCCCTGCCCGGTGCCGGCACCGGGACCGCGCCGAGGCCGCGCCGGGCGGCCCTGAGGGTGCCGGAAGTGACGCGGAGGCCCCGGCGCTGGCGGCGCCACAAAGCTCCCGCGGGCGCGGGGCGGGCGGCGCGAGGGAAGTCGCGGCTGCGGGCAGTGCGCAGGCGCGGGCGATGCCCCGGCTCCCTCCGGCGCTCCGTAGGCGGCCGCCCCGCGGCCCGCGGCGGGGTCAGGGCGCGGGCGGCCATCTTGTGGCGGCGGCCCCGGCGGGTTGTTGTCGGTGAGGCCGCGCCGTGCCCCCCCCGCCCGCCCCCCCGCGGGCGGAGCGGCCCCGGCCCCATGTCCTCCTTCTCGGAGTCGGCGCTGGAGAAGAAGCTGTCCGAGCTGAGCAACTCGCAGCAGAGCGTGCAGACGCTCTCGCTGTGGCTCATCCACCACCGCAAGCACGCGGGGCCCATCGTGGCCGTGTGGCACCGGGAGCTCCGCAAAGGTGCGCGGGGGGAGGCGGGGTTGGCTTGTCCGGCGGCCCCGGGGCCGGTTCCTCCTCGCGGCGGTGTCGGAGCTCCGCGGGGAGAGCTTGGTGACCCGACTTTAACGCAGCGGTTGTTTAATAAACTTTGCGGGGAATGCCCTTTGCGAGGGGTGTTTCCCGGTGCGTGCCGGTGAAGGCGGCGTTTGGGAAGGCGGGGGATGGAGACACGGCGAAGTGTGGGGTTGAGGGGATGCTCAGCCTCGCTGCTTTCCGGGTGTAAAACGGAAACGTTGGAATTATGTTCGAACATTATGCTGTGAGCTATGTGGTGCTCCGGCTGTTTACCTTTTGGGTTTTGTTTTTAAATTTTTGAGTTCGAATCCATACAATTCGCCCGTTATAGAACTGCATTAAGGGGAGAAAAGATAAGTAAAGGAAAAGGTGGCTGTAGAGATCTACACGTATACCTCGATCTGTATCTCTTTGGTGCTGTCATCCAGAAATACTTCGAGGTGGGTTTTTTTCCTTGCAGATTAACTTACCTAGAGTTAAATTAGGTAGTTTTCCGGATGGCAGTGCCTGGTGGAAGGTGTCCCTGCCCCTGGCAGGGGGTTGGAATTAAGTGTTCTTTAAGACCCCTTCCAACCCAAAGCATTCTGAGATTCCATGTGAGTGCCCTGTCCCCAAGTGCAGCTCTGAAACCAGCCAATATCACCATTCCCACCCTTGGCACCAGCAGTGTGAGCCCTTTGGAGCAGCTGGAGTATCTTGTGTGGGACTGATAGTTTTCGCCATTTCATTCTGTTTCTGAAGTTTTGTAAGATCTGAACTCGACCTGCTGTAGAAATGAGCGATTTTGTTTTCTGCTTCAAGCATGTTCTGAGGAAACAGTGAATCCCACTGATTCTGACCACAGTGAAATAGAAACTGGTGGTGTCAAAATAGGAAAAGTTACGGGATGTGGAGGAAATTCAATGTTCCTCTGTCACAGCATTGTTTAGAAAATATTTGGGTCTCTGCAATACCTTTCTCCTACAGTTTCACTGTTCTGAATTGTGGGGTTCTATACCAAGCATTTTTCCTGAAGTTAATGAATGAAAAATGAAAGCCATTGTTTTATTAATTTACTGGTAGGTTAGGACAGCTTTTTTTAGTCGTGTGATTAAAATTTGTTTATTACGTAGCTTTTTTCAGAGTCGAGGTGTCTCTGTGCACAAAAAGGTTTAAACTCGTGGTTTTTTATGAATTGGTTAAAAAAGAGGAGAAGTGGGGAGATTAAGAACTACTTGACTTCAGGGTCCCTGATTTGCCTTGGTAACAGAGAAGTATTTTGAACTTTGTTTTAGACTGCAAATCTCTGGGCAACTTTAAAAGACATGTTAATGATTGTGGGTGAAAGAAGTGACAAATTAATGCAAACTCTCTCTCTCTCTGTTCTTTCCTTCTTTTTTTTTCCCTTTCTCAGCAAAATCCAGTAGGAAGCTTACTTTCCTATATTTAGCAAATGATGTCATCCAGAACAGTAAGAGGAAAGGTCCTGAATTTACCAGGGAGTTCGAATCTGTTCTTGTGGATGCATTTTCTCATGTTGCCAGGTATGTTGCTGCATTTCTTCAACTTTCCTCTCTAGGGATTTGCATCCTTCTTATTCAGAGTTTAATTCAACTGGATGTTGTTGTTTGTTGTTGTTTTTTAAAGTTTCAGGGATGCTGGTACTCTGTCTCTAGTAGAGATTGGATTCTGACTGCTTTGCAGCTGTTTGGTGTTAATACTTCTCCTTAGGCAAACTTGTTTGTGTGTGCACCAGCCCTTCACACGCTCTGGATTTCAGCTGTTCCCAGAAGATCTGGCAGATCTGTTCATGAGCAGTGAAACTGAACAGTTGGGTGTGTTTATTAAAGCCACGCAATGAATGGCTCTGCCCCTCTGTGAGAAGATGTTTTTGGGTCACTGGATTCTCACCTGCTCTGAGCACGGTTTCTTTGTGTGTTGCTTGTTCTAAGGGTTACCTGGTCAGCAGTGCCTTTGCTTCCTACATAAGAGAGAAGAAATGATGCAAACACCACCTTATCAGAAAGGGAGTGTGGTTTAGTTAAGATTTTCTCTAAATAGCGTAATAATTCCTGTTATCTCAGCTAAGCAACATCAATGCTCTGGGTGTTTGATGTCTGTTCTGGAGGGCTGTCTGATGTCAGTGTGCTCTCTGACTGCATTTAAGTGCCTAATGATCCAATCAACCTGCTTTTAATTGGAATGTTATTGACTGAAACAACTGTTTAAAGTTAATACTCTTGAGTTGTAAACATATCAGCTTGAGGGTATTTTATAACTCTTCTTGCAAATTCTGAATGATAGCGGGTTTCTTCCTTCACAGCTTTTCCTGCCCTTACTTTGGGGTGGGAACAGGAGGCACTTCCAGGCAATCTTTAGTTCCAGTAAAGGGGTAAAATCGGCCACAAATGCGTTTGGCACAGTTTGTCCCAGACACTGTGAGAACGATCCTCTCACACGTGCACGTATTGCAGTGGGTGCAGCTGGTAGTTTGGAAGGCGCTCACTTGAAACATCAGGAGTGTTGATCAGCTGAGCCATGACGATTTCCCAATCTTTGAACAGAGAAGCAGACGAGGGCTGCAAGAAGCCCTTGGAGCGATTGCTGAACATCTGGCAGGAGAGGAGCGTGTATGGCAGCGAGTTCATCCAGCAGCTGAAGCTGTCCATGGAAGACTCCAACAGCCCCCAAACGAAAGGTAAATGCATGTTGCTGGTCGTGTGCGGTTCGTTTTTTAATGGGTGTGTGTTTCACTGGAAGCACCGCGAGGAGTTGAGCTCTGGGCTCCTTTAGTTGAGTCGTTGCCCGAGCTGGTCGTGGACGTTTTTCGGGATTGTTGCAGAGTGTGATTTTTGGTGAACTCGTGGTTCTGGTTTGCAGGTGTGTTGCCTTGGGAGTGGTGACTGCCAGTGAGCTTGACTTGAGGTGATGTCTGGTGCTGCTCGTGCAGACAGAATCCTCCAGGGCTGCCTTTTGGGGTGAAGGCAAGTCGGTTGTGCAGGGAACTGTTGCATCCACCTTGAGTCAAGTGTCCAACTCTACATCTCTGAGACTGGTCAGCTGGGTTTATTATAATGGCTTATTCAGTCTTGTTTCATTCTCGTGTTAATTGGTTTGTTTTGCACAGTTACTGTATTTTATTATGAGTCAGCAAGAAGTTTTTAGTAATTGAAGTCTAGAATATATGCCCAGAAGCTTGTCTGGTGTCTTTTTTTTTTTTTTTTTCTTGCACTGACATCATTTGGGGAAAATTTTGCATCATTTACCATCACTGGAACATCACAGTTATAACCTTATTACTTACATGAGAAACTGAGCATAAGCTTGTGTTTACTGGGCTTTGATACTGCTGTGGCAGTTCCTGCTTCTTTTGAAGCATCTGGAAGCGTTTCACTGGTAGTGCTGCAGTGGAAAGAGGGGAGCAACAGGAATGCTTAAGCTACGAAAGGTGAGACTTGTTAAAAATCAGGAGTGTTCTAGTTAAGGGAATATTTGTCCACTTTGCAGCTAAAAGAAGAGGATGCTCCATTCCTGGAGGTGTTCAGGTGTGGGTTGGTTAGGGCTCTGAGCAACCTGGTCTGGTGAAAGGTGTCCCTGCCCATAGCAGGGGGTTTGGAACTGGATGATCTTTAAGGTCCCTTCCAACCCAAGCCATTCTGTGATTCTGTGAAATGTCAGTGCCATCAAATGAGCCTGAATGACATGGCTGCTCTGGTCATACTTTGTTCTGTTCCCCCCAGAGGTGCAATGCTGTGAGAGAGTTGGTTTGGTCATTAGAAAAGGGCTCTTACTCCTTACTTAGGTGGTGAAAAATAGGTCTGATGGAGTTAGTGTTTAGTGCAGAATTAATATGAAGATGTGAGCATTAATGAGACTGTATGTGTGAAGTCTTACACCTATGGCTGTAGCTTTGTGTTTTTTTCACACACTGCTTCAGGCAGAACTGTAGGGTGGGTGCCTTAGCATCTCCCACCAGAATCCTTCTCCCTGCCTCTGACTGAGGTATGACTTTTGGCAAGTGTTGCCATTTTCTCCCCAAATGCTGCGAGCCAACTGCCCTGACCAAAGGAGTTGTCTCATCTGTGTGGGGCAGAGGGAGTCTGTTCTCTGAGGAGCAAAAGTGAACAGTCTCTGCATGACCTGGCTCATGCTGGGGTTCCTCTTGTCTGGGTGCAACGTGTGAGGCACCTGTGTGTCATCAAAGGACAGAATTTACATGTCTGAATTCCTGCTGAACGGATTACTGGAGGATTTGAAACTGTGAATTTAATGCACGTGGGTAGGTGTTTCGCAAGTGTTCAACTTTGAATCCAAACACGTTGCTAATTGATACCCTGTGTTGCATTTCCTGGTCACTTGGCAAACTGCTGTTGCTCAGTGTCCTCTCCCTCTGGCTGATGGTACCAGTCACTCCTGCTGCTGTTGTCTTCTCAACTTAAAAATGGTTGTACAAAATCAAACCCTTCCTAAAGGTGACAAGACCTTTGTCTGTGGGAAGCAGAGGGAAGGAATACAAATGCTGCAAGAACTGCTGTGTGCACAGCTCCACTTGGCGAGGAACTTAGCTGTTGTCTGGATAATAGGAGATATTAATGGAGTATCTTCTGTTTGAGGGAAAGTTCAGGCCTTTTCGTGAGTGTGGATGTTGCTGCCTTGTCAATTCATTGTCGAAAAAACCCTGAGATTTTTAACCTAAGGGAAAAAGAACTGTGAAAAATTCAGCAGAGCTGTCCTTTTTCCTTGTTTTGAATGTGGTTTTTTTCAAATTAGCTTCTTAATGGTAAGAGCTGCTTTCATCTGGGATTTTTTGTGCATTTCTAAGATAAATTGGTGATTGAGTTTCTGTTGGGCGTCTATCTGATTTGCAGAAGGCTTTGTTGTAGTTACTGTGTTCTGCTTTCAAACAGGTGAACATAAGCAAGATGGAGGTTAAGGTTTCCTGTTTTACAGCTGTAATGATTGTCATAGATGTGGAAAACCATAGTGCAGCGCTCATCCAAACCCTTCTGGCTGCCTGCATTTGTGTGCACCCAGGGTAGACACAGCTGGGACAGAGGCATTGTTAGTGCCTGCAGATTGGTTCAAGCTGTGCTGTTAAAATGTTGGAGCTCCTTAAGAGCATCTGGTGCTGTTGGTAACGAGTACCTGGTGCTTGTCTTCAGCCCACGGAATGGCAACAGGTCAGTGCAGGTAGTTCTCTGTGGCTTTTTCATGTTGCAGCGTCTGAAATTCCGGGGCTGGTGGGTGCTGCTCTCTGAGCAGGACGGCTCTTCTTGGCTTGAGAGCACCACGGAGTTGTGCAGCTTGTCAGAATGAAGCAGAGTCCTGTCTCAGTGAGGAAAGATGCCTTTAAAGCTCACTGGGGTGTGTTGCAGTGGTGCAGCTTGTTCAGTGAGTAGCAAGGCCTTGGGTAACGCAGTTCCGTTGGCTGCACATGCTGAATTCCTGCCGTGGAGCTGAGCTGATTGCATTGATAAGGAACATTCCCTTCAGAGAGGCAGAGAGGTAAAAGAACTGGCCCTTTCTAAGCATTGTATTCCATCACTCCTCAGTGGTGACTACCAGACTTTTAGTCTTTTGGGTTCCTTAAGGAGATCTGCATATACATGGAAATGAGCTTTTGAATATTGATGTATTGTTTTATCTCTAAATGTATTCGTTAAGCTTGCATTTGCTTTCTCATTAATCTCATTTTTATTAGAATGTTTCTTTTCACAAGCAATAGGGAAGAGAAGAACCACCCATTTCTCTCAAAGCCTGGCAAAACTAGGTCTTAGAGGTTTGATGTGAAACCCTTCAGGCAATACAACCGATCTAGCTGACGTATTTTCTTTTTGTTGTCTTTGTAATAAGCATTTGAAGGAGGTCCTTGAGCATGCTGTGATGTAGGAGTGTGTCACTCTTAACACAGAACTGAGCTGCTCTCATTGTGTTTGTGTTGCAAATTCTGGCACAGGAAGTCAGACCTGTATTAAAAAATGGAGAAGAACAGAGAGGGGAGAAGGCAGGGAGGCTTCTGAGGGCAGCTGAAATAAAGGCACCTGGAGACAGGTCTGGATGTGGTTTTGGAGCAGGACCACCCCAGGTACACTTGGACTAGGGGAGACCACCAATAAATACGTGTTGTAATGAGGACTGAAACAATGACAAGTAATCTGCCCCCAAAGAAAGAAGGAGTCAGAACAGTTGGAGGGGGTGCTGGGCCATTAGAAGCCTGTTTACCTCTGAAACCCAGTCCTCAAGAGGTGAGAATAAAAACGTAAGCACCTGAGATGGGAAGCTCTCCCAGGTTTCCAGCTGACAGGAAAACTCATACATCCTCAGCAAGGCCTTTGACTAACCTTCCTCAAGCCACTGGAGATGGTTTGAAAACTGAAAAGTTGGCGTAGAAATACTTTCCCAGGTCTCTGTGGATACTGCCAAGAGCAAGGTAACAACAACCTGGAGTGTCACTGCAAAGCTGTTAGGAGAGCAATTGTCTGTTTTGGAGAAGTGCTTTACCCTGTGGAGGTTTCTAGGGAGTAGTTTGGTTTCTGAGCTGTGGAGAAGACCCCAGTGAAGCAGGAAAGCTGACTTCATTTGTAGTAGGGGCTTCTCTCTTTTCTTTAAGTCCCTTCAAGAGGGGCTCTTGATTTTCCTGGGTGGAGCTCTCAGAATTCTTCAATCTCTTCTTTGTTTCAGGTACATGTTACAGTCTGATCAGTCCTGGTTGCTCTCAATGCTTGCTTTCCCCTTCTCTGGTTGGATTTGACAGACTTTTCTGGAAGCACAGGCTGTGATGGTTTAATTACTCTTGGCTGGCAGAGTTTGAAAGCTGCCCAGCCAGGGTGTGTTATAATTTGTGCCGTGCTTCTGTTCTCTTTCGGGGGTCCTTTTGCTCTGTATGCTCTTAAGTTTGAAAATAAGTGTGGGTCTTTCTCTATTTTGATTAAATCGAGGTGTTGTGTTTAGGATTCTCAAACGACTTGGTGCTTGGGGCTGCAGGTGCTCAGCACCACCTCCTTCAGAGTGGTTCCAGTCAGACTCACTTGGCCTTGTTCAGATGGCAAATTCAATGAAGTTTTGTATCCTCTGTGTTAGAGTGGTGAGCAAGTGTAATGTGTCTTGTGGTAAACAGTTGGCAGCACAGCAGGAATAGCTCTTCAGCAATTTGAATCTCAGCTCTCTCTCTCATTTTAATTTTCACTTGTGTGCGTGCTGTGGTCATGTGTTCTTCTGTTGGTTACTGTGCTTATCCCCTGTTGGTTAATTACTTTGTGATAAGTGCACACAAGTGATAAATACTGATCGCCCGTTATGTTGGGCTGGGTAACTTTAAATGTTCTCTTCAGCCATTTTATCATCTGTTCAACCCAAGTTGTGTCTCTTGCAGACCTCAGTGGGCAGCAGCTGTTTTCCACATTGATCTGGTGTCTCACTGGTTTGTCAGTCAAATTATCCAGCACTCTTACATCAGCTGGGTACATAAAATAATTAGACTGTCCCTCTTTCTAACCAAGACAGCTTTGCTCTAGCAAACATCAGCAGTTCATCTGTGTTAGAGTAACTTTTCTGTGCTGCTTTGCCTTCCTTGAGTGAATCTGTTCTCTAACAGAAGTCTTTGTGTCTGCCTTGGGAAGTCATTCAGCTCTTTCCCCACCGTGAGCAGGCAGTACAGCACCTCTGACTTTCTCTGCATTAAAATAAAGTTTTCTCGTATGTCCCACCTGACAAGGCAGGCAAAACTCTGCATTTAAGGACAGACCTTTTTGTTTGCTTCCTCATTAGAGTGGGACAGGCTGGTATTTTTTTAAATCAAGTGATGTTGGATTTCCCTGTGAATCAAAGAATGTATAGATTCTGTCCTCGAACTGTATGGTTATCTCAGCAAGACTTGATTCCACTGAAGAGATGTTCTCAAGACTGTCCAAAGCTTTTGTACCAATTACCCTGGATCTTATTAATTTTGGTGGCGAACCTGAAGAATGATCTGTCTTCTGAGGGTTCTGTGGCTGGATCAAAGGCTGCATTAAAACTTCTGACTCTTTAAATAAGCTGTCTCTTTCCTTTCAAGCTAATGTTTGCCGTGCTGAGGTTCATTTCAACAGCACTGTCTTGCTTTATGAAATCCCTGTTTGAAGTGTTACAAGTTACCTGCTTGGAGATCAGTCCATGCCCTGCCCATCACTGTTGTTGTTGTCACTTCTTGGAGTTGTAGTTCCATAGAGCTGTCCCAAAGCCTTTATTTTTATGGAAGAGTGGAAGGTTGAATAACCAGCAGTTATTTTGTTGATTGTGGGACCGCAGTGAGCACGTACTCGATGCAAAAAGATAACTTGAAATTCTTCTGTGTGTACTTCACATCGGTACTTGGTTTCTGCTGGTAGAAATCCTCACTTGCACACCCAGGGCATCTAAGCAGGGTTGAAATCTGTCATTTATTGACAAGTGGCACATTTCTTTCCCTTTCCTGCTTTCAGTGTAGAAGGCACAAACATGTATGCAGTGCACACTGCTGATGTCTATTCTTGTGCTGGCATGTACAGAGCTGCATGTGGGGGCAAAATCAACCTTTTATTGCTGTTCTGCATTTGAGTATTTGGAATATGATGTCCGCTTTAGAGTCCAGCTGTGGTTGTCCCTCTCTGGAGAGCTTAATCATCAGAGCATCTGGTGCAATTCTTTTGAAGTAGGAATAGTTAAGGTGGGCAGATCTGGCATACCAATGAGTTGTTTCTTTTGCCTTCAGTTGCAGAGGAGAAGAAGTCTCTAAAGAGAACTTTCCAGCAAATACAAGAGGAGGAAGATGATGATTATCCTGGGAGCTACTCACCCCAGGACCCTAGTGCTGGGCCACTGCTGGTATGTGGGATGGGTTGAGCGTGGGAGGAGCTCTGGAAGCCACATGGCCACCTCCTCTGTGTCCCCTGTGTCCCAGTCACGTCCCCTGTGTGTCACAGCCACAAGGTGGAGCTGACAACAAGTGAAACGGATTTAGCTGAGAGATGCGGTTTGGGGTTGAGAAGTCCATGTGAAATGCAACAGGTTCTTTTTATGCCTGTTGCAGCAGTGTGCCACTTGTGAGCAGTTCCAGGTAGTCTTAAGTAGCGCTGCCAGGAAAGAATCTGAGAGGACTCCTAGAAGAGCAGACCGTATTTTAAATTCTTTTTAAGATCATTGTGTAACCCCTCAAACTCCAAGTTGTAACACAGTTAAAATGCAATTATTTTTTTGTAGGCCACCTCTTTCAATAAGCTGTTAAAAATGTTGACCTTTGATAGGTTTGTATGGAGCTGGTAGGAGAGCCAGCTCTGAAGACTTTTTGAGGCTCACGTGTTAGGGGTGTGGAAATAGCTGGAACGAAGTAGAAAATCATTCTGGCCATTTGAGGCTACAGAATGAACATATGTTAAACCACAGTCTATTTGAAGAGGATAAAAAAATTACACCATCCATCTGGTAAACTGTAAACATTGAAAAATAAAAATAAATAACAGTTGTCAAGGAAATAAGTGAAAATTTTGTTGTTGTTTTTACCTCCAGATGCCTTGCAGCTTATGGTTTCTCTTGCTGATAAACACTCTCTCTGTTACTGTTGGAAATCATTTGCAGTTTGCAAGGAAGTAGTAAATGTTAGGTAATGGACTTTTGTTTTTCAGATAAAAAAAATATTTATTTAAAATTTGCCAGTGTTTTTATTAGTTTTCAAACTATTGAACTGTAGTTTAAACATCAGTGGTTGTGTTTACAGGGCTGGTCTCCCCTTTCAGAAGCCTCCTATCGAAACTTCAGTATTCTTAAAAGAAAGAAACAACACTTTGTTCTTCCTGTTTAGGGAATCTCTCTTTCTCATCTTTTTTATTTAATCATTTTTTTGGAGCAAGGAGGAACTATGGCAATATCCTCTTCAGGCTGTCCTCACCCACGTCTTTTTTAAGCTGGGATATGTTTTGAGTGAATTCATTCAAACTGACACAGCTGAGAGCCGAGCTGAGGGGAGCCCAGTTCAGCTGCACAAAGCTGTGTCCTTGCAGAGAGCTGGGTGAGGACAGCCATGGCTTTGCAAAAGCCACAGTAGAGGTGGCTTTAACAGGAAGAGCTTTTTACCGTCATCGGAGTTTATGGTCGGTAACCAGTCCCACAGTTCTAAACCTTATCACGAAGGAAATCTGACCCAGTTTTGCTTGGGCTGATAGAAATTTGGGGTTAGGTATTTTTGCTCTGTCAGAATGCACTTTTGGAGCAGGAGAAAAACAAAAGGTGCCCATACAGTCCTGTGAGGCAAAGAGTCAGTGTCAGAGATACTTGTGTAAAAGGTTCAGTCCCACCTTGAGGCAGCACACAAGGCTGGTGGCTGTGTCTCAGACTGGTGTGGTCGTGTCCTCCTCAGCTATGCTTAACATGATCACTTCTCTTAATTGGAATGAGAAGTTTTCCACTGCAGAGTCGGGAACAAGCCGACCCTGCTGTAATTATGCAGGAGTTCCCACACACTGGGGCAGTGTAAACTCAGTGAATGCTCCCTGTGTTGGGAAGCAACGGTTTAAAATTTATTTGAAGAAAATATTCCCCAAATGGTGGCTTTCAAAGGTAGGTGAGCTCAGCTGCAGTGGCCCACATCCCTGGGAAATGGATGTGGTTAAGGTTACCTGGTTTTACTGTTGGCTCACTTGACTTGTAGACCGAGGATTTGATCAAAGCCCTACAAGACCTGGAAAATGCAGCGTCAGGAGATGCGACAGTGCGGCAAAAAATCGCTTCCCTGCCTCAGGAAGTTCAAGATGTTTCATTACTGGAGAAAATTACAGGTATGAGACCAGTAGATGAATGAACATGGGTCCAAAGAATAACTTAGAAATCAAAGTGTGTGTTTTTTTTTTTTTTTTTTAATAATCATAATGGAGTGAATTCCTGCTTTTGTGTCCTTGCTTTGTAGCTCCAGGGTAATTAAGAGATAGCAATCCCGCGAACTAACACTGAAGATTAAACATACATAGCTGCTTCTGTTTTTTTTGGCTTGGACCGAGGCTTTTGTACTTGGAGAGCATCAGCAGCATTTTGCAGGGATATGAAGGAAATTGGGCCAGAGTTCTCAAATGGGTGTGTTTGCTTTTGAACACCGCGACTGTTAAGATATCTCGAAAGCTTTATCAGACTAGGCTGAGTACACACGGACTCCTTGATTGATATATTTTTGAGTTCTATCAGACTGCTGAGTATACACACGCTCCTTGATTGCTGTGGGAAAGGAAACTCACTACCCCCATTAATCCGTCAGTCTTTGTTTAAATGAACTTTTGCAATTACATTTGAAAAGTAATTTTAATAGAAGCATTTAAAGGTTGAACTGATATGACTCTTGTTCCTGGAGGTAATTTTAATTTAAAACTCATTACGAACTATCACTCTTACAGTGTCCAACCTGACTGTGTGCAGTTCCTAGGTTTGTGCCAGTGGACTGGGAGTTATTCAGATAGAAGAGGAATTAACAGGTGCACACTGTTTAAATATGGAAACCACTGGAGCTGTGTACCTGAAAGTGCTGCCTAACGTTTTAGTTTAATTAACCTGTTCACAGAGGCTGACTTCATAGACTTATATCCCCCCTTTCCTGACATGTCTGCAAGGATAAAATGCAGTCAGTCATGTCAGTGTCTAAAATACCGCCTGAGAAGGCAGCATGTCCTGTTTCCTGTACATCCCCTGTGATAACAGCTCCTATTTTCCTGTCGAGCCAGAAGCGTATTTACAAACAAGACACCATTGTGCCTGCAGGGCTGGTGAATTGTGAACAACTGGAAGTTTTTTTAAACTTTGCCCTCTAAATCACCCAACGCTTTGCACGCAGACAAAGAGGCCGCCGAGCGGCTCTCGAAGACGGTGGACGAGGCGTGTCTGCTGCTGGCCGAGTACAACGGGCGGCTGGCGGCCGAGCTGGAGGACCGGCGCCAGCTGGCACGGATGCTCATCGAGTACACCCAGAACCAGAAGGACGTGCTAACGGAGAAGGAGAAGAAGCTGGAGGTGAGTGCCGGGTTACCGGGGCTGGCCACCTGATTGGCTCACCAAACGCTCCCCTTCCGCTCCTAATCTGCGGGTTTCTCCTGAGTGGGGGGGGATCGTTCTAGTTGTTACCTGTTAGGTGTTATTCTAGGTGTTATCTTTAAATTTGTTTCTAGGTGTTATTTTTATGTTTGATTATAGGTGTTGCTTTTACACCTGGAGTAAAACGCGCAAGAAATCTGTGTAAAATCTGGAGAGTGTTCTCGTGTTCGGTCTAGATGTTTTAATGGGCACCTGGAAGGCCCAGAGCTCTGTAGTTTTTAAAATAAAATAGACTCACCTTACACAGTTGCTTCAGATTTACCCTATTTTTTCATGACGTCCCCCTTTTTCAAGAAGTCAGCCTCTGTTTACCATAATTAGCTCGGGGGATTTCATATTGCCTGTTTTTTTATTATTCTTTTCCTTATTAATGAGTGCCCCTCATCTGCCTCCCCATCCCCTGCTTCATAAGGGGAAGCAGTTCAAACCAGATCAACTCCCCATCCTTGAACATCCACCTGTCACCTCTGTGGTGGAGTGTAAATGGGGCTGACAGCAGAGAGACAATGAACTGCATTTCCAGCTCCCTTGAACAAGGAGAGCAGGACCCTAAAGCAGCACGGGTCTGGCTGGGCCTGAGCTGAGCCCCCCCTGCACGGCCCAGCGCCGTGTGAGGCTGCACAGCCAGCTGTTTGCAGCTGTTTATCCAAAACGTGCCCTCTCCACGGTAAAGTTCTTTCGGCTCCACGTCGCGGGACTAGCGTGGAGTTTAATTAATGGCTGTGGTTGTGTGTCACTCTGCCATCTGCTAAACTGCCCCTCGGCGGCACATCAAGGGCTCCTCTGCACCGCGGTGCTGGTGATGAACAGCTGCTGCGGGCTGGGACTGGAGGGGACGTGGAGGACGAAATCTCCTGAAAGGAGACTCTGCTGCAGCGATTGCAGGCTCTGTTTACTGCCACGGCAGACCCCGTCCGCTGACAACTCGGCAGCATTGCTCCCAGATGAATTTCATTAAAAGTGTTTTCTCTGCTGTGTGTTTATACTAGAGTTTCTCAATGCCTTGTGACTGAATTTCTTCAAGCATGGTGTCAGTCCTGTGACTGACTCAGTAAAAAGCACTTTAGACGTGGATATGGATAATGCCATAAAACCAAATCCTGTTTGGCACCTGATTTATTTGCTGTGGAAGTCTTGGGTCAGGTCTTGGTTTTTTTTCTCGTTGAAAGAAGGGCACCTGTCTAGTAGAAACATGAATGTGTATGTGAAAAAATCATAAATGATAGGCATATTGCTGTTTGGTTTTAAAGAAGGCAAGAAGTAGGTAGCAAAATGTTGCACAGTGATGATGTAAAAAGGCCCAGAGCAATCCATAAATTTGAGTCAGTTTGAGGCTGTGAAACCGAGAAATCCATAATGACAACATGAAATTAAAATTTCTAATGCAGTAGCTGAAATGTTGTGACAATTGTGGGGTTTTTCTGTTTGAAAAAATACCTTTTTTTGTAAGGAACGGTACATGAAAATTATAACTCTGGCAGAGGCAGAAATGTAATCCTGAAAATGAAGCGTTTTGCTGGCTGAGCTGCTTTGTTAATGGGAATAATCCTGCTGATGGCAGTGGGACAGGCTGCTTGCTTGCTATTGGGTGTAAACACAGGTCTTTGCTACATTGGAAAATAAGGAACGATCTTATTTGAATATCAGGATGTTATTAAATATCTGTTTAGATTAGCATCTCTGTCGTTCTAGCAGACAAGGTGGCTCAGTGCTGTAACAACCTAAACAGAGTTGCAGGAAATGCCACTCTTAACACTGAACAGGAGGCATAATTGATATTCGTGTCAGCTCTCAAACCTCAGTGAGGGATGTTGCCTGATTACAGCGTTCCATTGTTCTGGCCTTGTAGAGGGTTAATAAACAGTGGAAGATGCTGGTTACAGATAAGGCAGGCCAGATGTGCTTATCAGTTTTTGTTTGAGACTTTGATGTTCTCACAGTATTGATAAGCCTGGATTTTCCTTTGTAGTGCTAATAAGCATTTTACTAGAAGGATCTGAAACTCTTGTAGCAATTAAAAATGAATTAAAAAGCCAAAACATTTACTCTGGCAAAGTCTGAAATGAGGAAATAACTTAAAACAATCTAATTTTACATATCTTCTGATTGTAGGCTTTGCTCTCTGGATGTATCTTTTCCACAATCTTTTGGTACTATGAGTTTTCCCTCTTGTGCTGTAAGTTTCCTGACTCAGATGAGAGGGTGTTTTTGGACAGAAAATGGATTATTTCCTTTGCTGTCCTAATCTAGCCAAGGCTGCTGCTGGTTTGGGGAGAGGGGCTTCTGACAGTAAATATAAGCCAGGGCTTTATTTTAAGATGTTGAAATGTCTAATATGGAAGTCACTCTGCATGTTTTTTTGTATTTTATTTACTCACAAAGTCTTTCACTGTGATAACAATGAAAGTAGCTAATCTGTGTTTTTTGAGAAGCAGCTTTTGTGTTCTAAAGAGCTGCAGTTGTTTACTAATCCCGTTAATGCTGTCCCTCGTGAAACAGCAGATTGTCAAAACATACATAAACTCCTTGTGTTTGTGTCTGGTGGGCTAATGCTCAGAGCACTCCGTGATGTCAGACCCCTGTGACACAACTCCTGCCCTGAGGTGCAGAAAAGCTGTTAAATTGAGGGATGCTCTGCTGAGGAAGGTGGCTTTGGAAAGGGATTACACATCAGCATGGATGCAGCCGGTGTGAGCAAGGGCTGCAACAGCCAGGGGTGCAGAAGCACTGGTGATACGAAGGGAGAAAGCTGGCACAGAGCCTGAAGATCATAACATACGGACCAACTCCTGTTTTAGGGTAGCAATGGGAAAAAATTGAAAGTGTAATGATTAGGATTTCTTTATGAGGGGGTATGGTGATACCTTGACTGTAGTCTAAGAGTGCTTAGAAGGAGAAGGCAGAGTTCCTTTATTTCTGGCAATCAGCAAAATCAGCTAGCCCAAAAAAACACTGCTGCCAAACAGCCTACAGCAAGGTGTACATTTTTCAGGGTAAATATTCCTCAGGTTAACTTACTGAAGGGTGTGGTGGATGCTGCCGTTGAGCAGCTGAACACTGAATTTCTCTTTGAGTGATGTTTCATCTCACTCAGCAATTGTGGGCTCAACACTTCAGCTGCTCTTTGATCATCCATGCCTGGGCTGGATCAGAGGTGGCCTGGCCTTTCAGAATAGCAGGTGACGGGAAATAAAATCCGCTTTCAGACAGGCGCAGAACCAAGAACTGTTGTTTCTATGAGTGTGAGATGTCTTTGTATCTCACACGAGTATTTAACTTCTAATGAAAGTTCCCTGATTTGTGTTATTTTTGGCCACTGCGGCCCCGTTACAATTCCAGAGCACAATCAGCTGGGGGAGAGTTTTGTCCTCCAGCACCTGAGCCTGCACAGCTTCAAGGGGAACGGTTGTCTTTTGAAGTCAGTGCACTCCTGTGGAATGCAGGGCAGGCAAGGAGAAAAAATCCAGGGAATTAGTTTGCGTAAAACTGAAATGTAGCGGCGAGATAACAGGGAGAACGTTCCGTGTTGGTGTACCAGGCAGCTGTAAAATGAAGTCAGGTAAATCGATGGGACTGGAAGAACCAAGGGAAAGCAGTGCTAGGAAATGGCAAATTGTGTGGAAGCTTTATGGGTACCTGAAATAACCACTGACAGTAGAAAACCTGCAGTAAGTGAGAGGAGGATTGTTTTTAATCTCCTGGGGAAAAGAGGCAGAAAAAAATAGAGAGATGATTGTGCATTTAGAATTTCTGTTTTGATTTGCAGACAGTGAAGGCAGTTCTTACCTTCAGTCCCTGTGTTTGTGACAGGAGGAACATACCATAGCACAGATAGTACGTGTATGTAGTGCATTGTGTTTGAGGGGGTGGATACACCCAAATAAGTGTGTTTGCATGTCTGCATGTAGAAATATAAAGATCATACTGCATTTAAGATCCAGTTTAGGGGAAATGTTCTGACTCTTGGCTGCAACTGAAAAATTGTGACTTAAGAGTCCTGCTGAGAGCTGTGGGGGTTTTTAGATGTTTGTGGGCTTTAATATTCATGGCCTCAAGGCACCTTTAATAAGGTGTTAAAGCCGTGCCCACACGAATTTGCAAACCCTCTTTGGTAATGCATCTCTGAGGGGTGAAGTACACTCTCACTTGAGGTTTTCTGGGCAACACTGCGCATTTTCTTGAAATACAATTTGGTTCAGTGGGTTAATAGGCAATTTGTTGCTGTGCTGCTTCCACTGCCTAGCTCTCTGTAGCATGTCGGTGTTGGCATGGCTTTGTGCTTCCCTCAGACAGGAATTCTTGGGTTGTGGTATATTCATCTCAGTGGTTTGTGCAGTAAAACAGGAGGTGAACTTTTAGTTGTTCTGCCAGGGAACAAAACTGTCAATGTTTCACGTGCAGGGAGTAGCAGGAGCAGCTGTGGGAACCAGCAGCAGAGGGGGTCGGCTCTGCACCCCAGGCAGGGAGATCCCAAGCAGGAACCCCCCCAAAACGGTGTCCACGGGGTCTGTAAAACCAAACTGGTGATTATTGGGGCCAGAAGTGCAGGGCTGTGCACCAGTCCTGCCAGCTGTGAGCCAGTGGTGCCTTTGGGGCTGGGACAAGAGCACAGGATGCAATTCCACAGGGGAATCTGAGTCTGCTGGGCTGTGTATGGCTCGAGGCAACAGCTGTGTTTCTTTGCACGATGCCAGGATACAATTTCTTCGTTTTGTAGGTGCTTGTAGGCATTTGTAATGTTTGTAGTGTTGGAAACTGAATGATACTAAACAATAAAAGCAAATAAAAATCATCCAATATTAACTTAAAATGTTTTTATGCATTTTACCGAAGTAAATGAATTTATGACCACTCTTTTGCTTTAGCTGTAAAAGCATTAAGATGCTTGGAGAGGTGAATGTGTAGCTGCTTGCATCTTG